AAGAGTTTAACAAGGAGGCGAGGTAGGAGGGCAAAATAGGTTTAGCGCCACCGCAGCACGGGAGGGAGAATTACGGCCAGGAGCACATGGATAAAAATAGACCGGAGAAAAAAAAAACATGATTCGATTCTTTTGCGGACGTGTTGATGCATCGGGTCGTCGGCTGTTGGATCGATGTATCGACACAAAACAATTATTATTTACACCCCTAGTTTAGACCATACGCTGCAGGAGCAGCAAAAGCAGGTAGTTTACCTTCAAAGTCAATGGTTGACACGCATCGAGGCGCAGCAAAAGGTCCTGCAGCGCGTATAAGCAGCTGAAGCAGCGTGTCATGAGCTTCTAAGCACGCAATGCGCTGCAAAAGCAACAGCTGCTGGAGTTGGATAGATTTTACTTTTGCTGCACGGGGCATCACATCCACCGAAAAGAGAGGCTGATCTGGGAGCTGGCAGGGAGACGGAGAACGCGCTGCTGATGCAGATCCCTATGATCACTTCTCTGAAATATTTTATTAACGCCTAAATTAACTTAAAATGTCAAAACCTGCTGGCAAGATATGTTCGACTTTATTCTTCTGGTGCCTGCAGTTTGGATAATGTACGTGAAAAACGCCTTCTGGCCGCCGCAAACAGTAGCAGAAAACCGCGAATAGGCGACCGGGCCAGAGGCTGTTGCTGACAGTGACAGAGAACTGCTGGTCTCAGCAGCTCTGACAGCAAAATAATATATGAAAGCAGGATGGTAATCTGGATGAACTGACTGCACAGATGAAATTTTCAGGTGGACTTTCTCACTTAAAAAGATATTTAAGCTACTTTTTACCCACTGACCACAGCAAATATAGCAAAGCCGCTCTCTGCATTGATTGAACACATCAGCAGCAGACGTATCGGATGGAGACAGTTTACTGGACGCGCTTCAGGAGCGACAACGTTGCTTTCAGCTCTTGCGTCCTGAACGCAGCATAATTGTTTATTTTCCCACTTCAGTCACCGTGTGATGCTGTGAGCCTAAAAACGTTCTTTTGTTATGAGCTAATTGATGTTTTTTGCTTCTTTGTCTGTTTAAATATCCACTCAACAAAGTTCACCTAATTACTCTAGTTATTTTCTTGTATTTCTTCTTTTTTTTTTTATTCATTTCAAGATATTTCTCCTCATGCAGATGTAAATAATAGTCCACTGTTACTGTTTACTGTTATTTAGAGATGCACGATATAATCGGCCCCCTATCGGTATCGGCCTTAAAACTGAATATCGGACATCAGCCACCCCACCGATATTTAACCCGATATTTGATCAGCTTCTGAGTTTCTAAAGTCTATACAAAAATAAATAAAAAATACCACTTCTTCTTCTTCTTCCTCAAAAACTTCTTTTTTACAGACTTACATACATT